GATTTCCAAAAAAATGTTGTTAGTATTCATATAATCTAAGAAATATTGCATTTAAGTAATTTATAACTATATTATCACATTTTATTATTAAAATTGATAATAAATATTACAACATTACTAAGGATTCTGTACGGTCTGGTATGAAAAGTCCATGGGGTGGTGGGATGACACTATGAGTTACTGCCCTGAGAGACACCAACCCTGTTGTTGTTAGGTGCTGTTGAGTTGCTCCAAGTCATAGCGACCCTGTGTACAACAGAATGAAACACTGCCCAGTCGTGTGCCATCCTCACAATCCTTGCTATTCCTGAGCCTGTCGTTGCAGCACTGTGTCAATCCATCTCATTGAGGGTCTTCTCCTCTTTCACTGACCCTCCACTTTACCAAGCATGATATCCTTCTCTAGGGAATGCTCCCTTCTGACAACATGACCAAAGGAAGTGAGGTGATGTCTGGCCATTTTCTCTTCCAGAGAGCATTCCGACTCTACTTCTTCTAAGACAGATTGGGTCATTCTTCTAGCAGTCCATGGTACTATCAGTATTCTTTGCAAAAACCACAACTCAAAAGCATCAACTCTTCTTTGGTCTTCCTTATTCATTGTCCAGCTTTCATATACACATGATGCAAATGAAAATACCATGGCTTGGGTTAGTCAGGCACACCTTAATCTTCAGAGACATCTTTGCTCTTCAGCACTTTAAAGAACTCTTTCGCAGCATATATGCCCCATGCCATATGTCGTCTGATTTCTTGACTGCTGCTTACATTGGTGTTGATTGTGGATCCAAGTAATAGAAAAACTTTGGCCACATCAGTCCTTTCTCCATTTATTGTGATGCTGCTTACTGGTCTGGTTGTGAGTATTTGTATTTTCTTTATGTTGAGGTGTAATCCATACTGCAGACTGTAGTCTTTAATCTTCATCAGGAAGTGCTTCAAGTTGTCTTCACTTTCAGCAAGCAAGGTTGTGTCATCTGCATATCACAGATTGTTAACTAGTCTTCCTCCAATCTTGATACTTCCTTCTTTTTCATGTAGTCCAACTTCTCAGATTATTTACTCAGTATACAGATGAATAAGTATGGTGTTTTGGTTCCCTACTGCCACTCTGAAAGGAATATACCACAAATGAGATGTTTTAACAAATAGGAGTTTATTCTCTTAAGAGTTTTGGAGGCCAGAAATCTGAGTTCAAAGTGCCAGGCTCTAAGGGCTGGGTGAAAACCTCTCAACCTTGGGCTTCAGCTCTGCTTCTTGCTCCTGGCCCACTGAAGCTGGAGACTTTTCTTCACTCAGGCAACTGGTGGCTGCTGAGGCTAACAAGCCCAAGGTCGACAAATAAAATGGTGCAGTCTTGATAGTACCAAACCACATGGCAGGCCATTGATTCAAGCCCTGTAAAAGTCTCAAGATTGGCAGGGTGGCAGGGCAACATGGCAGGCTGCAGAACAATGACTTGGCTACATCCAGGGTTCAAGCTGGAGATCTTCCTCAATGTTGCTTCTTATATATACTGGAAGCAGCCCACATCCCTAAACCTACTCAGCTGCTGCAGTAGATTTCACCATGGAGTTAATTACCAATTTCACCATGGGAAATAACTACATCTACCTGCCCAGCCATTCAACCTGGCCCAGGTAGTTATATAACCTTAACTACCACATATGGTAAAAGGATACAACCCTGATGTACCTTCCTGATTTGAAACAATGCAGTATCCCCTTGTTCTGTTTGAACAACCACCTCCTCATGAGCACAGGTTCCTCATGAGAACTACTAAGTTTTCTGAAATTTCCATTCTTCCCAATGTTATCTATAATTTGTTATGACGCACACAGTCAAATGCCTTTGCTTAGTCAATAAAACACAAATAAACATCTTTCTGGTATTCTTTGCTTTCAGCCAAGATCCATCTGTCATCAGCAATGATATTCTTCATTCCATGTCCTCTTCTGAATCCAGCTTGTATTTCTGGAAGCTCCTTATCAATATATTGCTGCAGCTATTTTTGAATTATCTTCAGCAAAATTTTATTGCATGTAATATTAATGATATTGTTTGATAACTTTCACATTCTCTTGGAGCACCTTTTTTTGGAATGGGTACAAATATGGATCTCTTCCAGTCAGTTAGCAGGTAGCTGTCTTCCAAATTTCCTGGCATGGATAAGTGCGTGCCTCCAGCATGACATCTGTTTGTTGAAACCTCAATAGATATTCTGTCAATTCCTGGAGCCTTGTATTTCACCAAATCCTTCAGTGAAGCTTCAACTTCTTCCTTCAATACCATTGATTCTTGATCATATTGCTCCTGAAATACGTGAACATCGACCAATTCTTTTTTGTCCACCTTCTTTTGATGCTTCCTGCACCATTCAGTATTTTGCCCATAGAATCTTTCAATATTGCAACCCGAGGCTTGAATTTTTTCTTCAGGTTTTTCAGCTTGAGAAATGCTAAGCATGTTCTTCCCTTTTGGTTTTCTAACTCCAAGTCTTTGCATATTTCATTATAATAATTGATTTTGTCTTCTCAAACTGCTCTTTGAAATCTTCTGTTCAGCACTTTTATCTTGTCATTTCTTCCATTGGCTTTAGCTACTCTCCATCCAAAAGCAAGTTTCAGAGTCCCTTCTGACATCCATTTTGGTCTTTTCTTCCTTTCCTGTCTTTTTAATGACCTTTTGCTTTCTTCATGGATGATGTTCTTGATGTCATCCCACAATTCTTCTGGTTTTCAGTCATTGGCGTTCAGTGCATCAAATCTATTTTTTAAGATGGTCTCTAAATTCAAGAGGGATATAATCAAGGTCATATTTTGGCTCTCATGGACTTGTTTTAATTGTCTTCAGCTTCAGCTTGAACTTGCATATTAACAATTGGTTGTCTGTTCCACGGTCAGCTCCCAGCCTTGTTTTGGCTGAAGATATTGAGCTTCTTCATCGCCTTGGTCCACAGATGCAATCCATATGATTCCTGTACACTCCATCTGGCAAGGTCCACGTGTATAGCTGCCATTTATGTTGTTGGAAAAGTATATTTTGCAATGAATAAGTCCTTGGTCTTGCAAAATTCTATACTGTAATCTCCGGCATCATTTCTATCACCAAGGCCACATATTCCAACTACAGGTGATTTTTCTTTGTTTCCAACTTTTTCATTCCAATCACCAGTAATAATCAATACATCTTATTGCATATTTGGTCAATTTCAGACTGCAGAAGTTGGTACAAACCTTCCATTTCCTCATCTTTGGCTTTAGTGGTTGGTGTGTAAATTTGAATAGTAATCGTATTAACTGGTCTTCCTTGTAGGCATATGGATATTATCCTATCCCGGATAGTGTTGTACATCAGGATAGATCTTGAAACATTCTTTGTGACCTGAATGCAATGCCATTCCTCTTCAGTTTGTCATTCCTGGCATAGTATGTAGATCATGTAGTTGTCTCATTCAAAACCAGTCCATTACAGCTCACTAATGCCTAAGATATCAATCTGTATACATTCCATTATTTTTGGCAACTTCCAGTTTTCTTAGATTCATACTTTGTATGTTCCACATTCTGATTATTAATGGATGTTTGCAGCTATTTCTTCCCATTTTGAGTTGTGCCCCATCAGCAAATGGAGGTCCCAAAAGCTTTACTTCATCCACATCATTAAGGTTGACTCTATTTTGAGGAGGCAGCTCTTCCCCAGTCATATTTTGAGTGCCTTCTGACTTGAGGAGCTCATCTTCCAGCACTGTATCAAACGAAGTTTCAGGGCTATTCATTAAGTTTTCCAGTAATATATCAAACAGTATTTCACTGCTATTCTTAAGTTTTTCACTAGCCAATTTTTTCAGAAATGGATGCCCCCCTTCTTCTGAGTCTGTCTTAGTCTGGAAGCTCCACTGAAACCTGTCCAACATGGGTGACCCTGCTGGTATTTGAAATACTGGTGGCAAAGCCTGCAGCCTCACAGCAACGCGCAAGCCACCATAGTACAGCAGACAGACAGATGAGTGGTGTACACCAACCCTAGTGACCCTCCCCCCAGCCAAAAAAAAATACCAAACCCACTGCCATCGAGTCAATTCCAATCATAGTGACCCAGGAGTCCCAAGGATGTAAATCATCACAGAAGCAGACTGCCAGCAAAAAGGACATGGAGTGGCATCCTCTGACCTCCTCTAACTTCATGAGGAGGAAAGAGAATCAGGAACAGCAGCCCAAGGCTTATTCCTATGAGGCCAGATATGCTGCTGTCCTCCAGCGTTTTTCTCAATTCTGACACCAACCATCCTTCTCACAGCACTTACCACATCTCTGCCTGGTTCAACAATTTGTTGAAATGGCACACAGAACTCACAGAGAATACTCATGATTAGGGGTTTAATAGGGAAGTAGCAGATTACAATTCTGGTCCAGGAACACTCAGGATACAATTCTTTGATCAGGACAGCCTCCCTTGGCCATGCCCAAAGGCACTTCTCTGTTTGGCCCTCTGCCTCTCAGCCTGGCCTCTGCTCTGCTTGGTGTTACAAAGGCACTCAGCCTTCTCACTCCATGGGCTGGCAAGCCTGCTGCTCTATCTTGTGCCAATCTCTTTGTTCTCTGCTTTATCTCTCTCCCCTAGAGCAGCTGGTGGGTTCAAACAGCCAACCTTTTCATTAGTAACTGAATACTTTAAACACTGTACCACCAGAGCTCCTTCCCTAGTGATACCACTGGTAAAACCTAAGTCCTAAATTTAGTCCTCAGTGATTTGAAGGCCTGCTGGCACAATGTTTAAGCACTTGGCTGCTAACATGTTTGGTGGTTTAGACCCCACCAGAGGCTCTGCAAGAGAAAGACCTGGTGATGTACTTCCATAAAGATCACAGCCTATGAGGCGATTCTACTCTGTCACATGGGTTGCTATGAGTTGAAATCAACTTCATGGCACCAAGAAAATCACAAATTTTCAGCCTACAAAATGAAATTTGTTTTTTAAATATTTATTTGTTTTGACAGATGCTTGCTCAGAAATCTGGCAACATTATCAATATGTCTTCTGTGGCTTCCAGCATCAAAGGTAGGTCTGTCTTCCTTGGTTGAACATAATGGTGATAGACAACTTCATGCACCCTGCTTTTGAGACCGGGCATAGCAGAGATCATAAAACCTGCATTATTTCAAAACACTTTTTCAAGCTTTTGGATAAAACAAAAGGGGAGGGGGACCAGGTCTGATAGAGCCTGGTGGAACCACTGAGACTATGGCCCCTAGCTGCCCTTCAGGTCTAGAATTGAACCCACACCTGTGGCTTCCAGCCAAGCAAAAGACAGGCATAGGAGTTGAACGTTTACCTGAGGTAAATACACTCCTTGGAGAGAACAATCATGGGAGAAAGAAGGGCTGTTTATGTACAGGGAGACAGCTCAGGGGGCAGGAGTACATGGAAGAATGGACACAGGGAAGAGGTGACTGTCGGGAGGAAGTGGGAGGGGAGCTGTTGCATTGTGGTGAGTTGTGGTCAATGTCATGAGGCAAAATGTATGTGAACTGCTGTATGGAAAGTGAATTTGCTCTGTAAATTTTCACCCAAATCACAATTTAAAAAAAAAACAAAACACTTTTTTAAAAAATGTGTGTTTAGTTCCTTAATTATCAGACCTTTTGCCTTAGATATTGACCATTCATATGCTTGTATTATTCATAAAATTAAATTAAAAATTGTGTTTTCTTTGCCTTCCCATTTTTACCTTCTAATGGATATGGAAATGAAAATTGAACTGGAAAAAGGAAGCATTTATCCAATTAATTAATCAGAAAGATATATTGAGCACCTAGTATATAAAAAGAATTTATAGCCCAAAGGCAAGAGACAGGTAAGTAAGTATCTTCTATGGTGTGAGACTGTTACAACAGAAATTTTTACAAAATACTGTCAAAGGTACATCAGAGATAACTCTGTGAATTTGGGGAATACTTCACAAAGGCAACTGATCTAAGCCCTAGTGAGAAGTCAAGTTGAAGAGCTAGAATAACAGTGTGAAATGAAGATAGTATCATAATCGAGTACTGATTAATCTTTGCCTAGCTTAAAAAGACGAGAAAGGAAGAAAAGACCAAAATGGATGTCAGAAGAGACTGTCCTTGCCCTTGAGCAGAGAGTAGCTAAAGCAAATGGAAGAAATGACAAGATAGAAGAGCTGAACAGAAGATTTCACAGAGCAGCTCCAGCAGACAAAGCCAATTACTATAATGAAATGTGCAAAAACCTGGAGTTAGAAAACCAAAAGGGAAGAACACACTTGGCATTTCTCAAGCTGAAAGAACTGAAGAAAAAATTTAAGCCTGCGTTGCAATATTAAAAGATTCTATGAGCAAAATATTGAATGATGCAGGAAACATCAAAAGAAGATGGAAGGAATACACAGAGTCACTGTACCAAAAAGAATTTGTCAATGTTCATCTACTTCAGGAGGTGGCATATGATCAAGAACCAATAGTATCGAAGGAAGAAGTTGAAGTTGCACTGAAGGAATTAGTGAAGAACAAGGCTCCAGGAATTGACGGAATACCCAAGGTGATGTTTCAACAAATGGATGCCCCACTGGAGGCACTTACTTGGTTATGCCAAGAGATTTGGAAGACAGCTACTTAGCCAACAGACTGGAACAGATTCATAATTGTATCCATTCCAAAGAAAGGTGATCCCACAGAATGTGGAAATTATCAAACAATATTAATATCACAAGCGAGTAAAATCTTACTGAAGATAATTCAAAAATGGTTGCAGCAGCATATTGATAGAGAGCTTCCAGAAATGCAAGCTGGATTCAGAAGAGGACATGGAATGAGGGATATCATTGCTGATGTCAGATGGATGTTAGCTGAAAGCAAAGAATTCCAGAGAAATGTTCACTTATGTAGGAGCTCTGGTAGCACAGTGCCTAAGGCACTTGACTGCTCACCAGAAGGCTGGCAGTTCAAACCCACCAACCACTTCTCGGAAGGAAGGTTGGGCAATCCTACTTCCGTAGTGATACTGCTTCGGAAACCCAAGGAGGGGTCGCTATAAGTCGGGGCTGACTCGACAGCAAACAACAACAACAACAACATGTTTTATTGACTATGCAAAAGCATTCACTTGTGTGGATCAAAACAAATTATGGATAGCACTGAGAAGAATGGAAATTCCAGAACACTTGATTGCACTCATGAGGCATCTGTACACAGATCAGGAGGCTATCGTTCAAACAGAACAAGGGAACACTGCATGGTTTAAAATCAGGAAGGGAGTGTATCAGGGTTGTATCCTTTCACCATACTTATTCAACTTGTATGCTGAGCAAATAATCTGTGAAGCTGGATTCTATGAAGAGGAAGAGGATTGGAGGAAGACTCATTAACAACCTGTGATACACTGATGACACATCTTTTCTTGCTGAAAGTGAGGATGACTTGAAGCACTTACTGATGAAGATTAAAGACTGCAATATGGATTACACCTCAATGTAAAGAAAGCAAAAATCCTCACAACTGGTCCAATAAACAGCTTCACAATAAATGGAGAAAAGATTGAAGTTGTCATGGATTTCATATTACTTGCTTGTACAATCAACACAAATGGAAGAAGCAGTCAAGACATCAGATAACATTTTGCATTGAACAAATCTGCTTCAAAAGACCTCTTTCAAGTGCTGAAGAGCAAAGATGTCTCCTTGAAGACTAAGGTGAATCTAACCCAAGCCATGGTATTTTCACTCACCTCTTATGCATGTAAGAGCTGGACAATGAATAAGGAAGACCAAAGAAGAATTGATGCTTTTGAGTTGTGGTGTTAGAGAAGAATGCTAAGAGTACCATGGACTGCTAAAAGAACTAACCAATCAGTCTTGGAAGAAGTACAGCCAGAGTGCTTCTTGGAAGTGAGACTGGCCAGACTTTGTCTCACCTACTTTGGTCATGTTGTCAGAAGGAACCATTCCCTGGAGAAGGATATCATGCTTTGTAAAGTGGAGTCAACAAAGAAGGGGAAATCCCTCAGTGAGATGGACAGACACAGTGGCTGCAATGATGGACTCAGGTATAGCAAGGATCATGAGGCTGACACAAGACTGGGCAGTGTTTCGTTCTGCTGTGCATAGGGTCGCTATGAGTTGGAGACAACTCGATGGCACCTAACACAACAACAGCTTACAGTAGGATGGCTGCCACTGAGATAATACTCTTCTTTGCAAGGATACAAACATTAAAAGAGCATTTCAGAAGCATGAAAATAAGAGCCTTGGTCTCTAACTTTTTGTGTTTTTGCTTATCCTTGTTTTCTTTTGGAATCTGCCTAAAGGTTACACCAACAGATGATGAAAAAGTGAGACTCCTGCTTTAAGTAAATGATAGCACCTCAATTGGCACAGCAATTAAGCTCTTGTCTGCTAACCCAAAGGTTGACAATTTGAACCCACCCAGAGGTTCTGCTGGAGAAAGTCCTGGTGATCTGCTCTCATAAACATTGTTGTTGTTGTTGTTATGTGCCATCAAGTCGGACCCGACTTCATAGTGACCCCTCCTTGGGTTTCCAAGGCAGTATCACTATGGAAGTAGATTGCCCCATCTTCCTTCGGAGGAGTGGCTAGTGGGTTTGAACCACCAGCCTTCTGGTCAGCAGTCAAGTGCCTTAGGCACTATGCTACCAGAGCTCCAATAAATATTTCAGCTAAGAAAATCCTATAGGGCAGTTCTACTCTGTCACTTGGGGTCACTATGAGTCAAAAATTGACTCGACAACACCTAACAACAACAGCAAAAAATGTTAACACATAAGTCTCATTTGAGTTGTGCCAATATTGATACCATTTTCCCAGATTCAGAAATTGGTCCTTAAAAAAGGGTAAAGAAAATACGTAAATGGTTCTGTAGAAAGTTAACTTGTGTTCCCTTTCTAAAGACTTTCTTATTGAGTCCTCCAGTGCTGTGCCTTCTCCTCATCTGCAGGAGTTGTGAACAGATGTGTGTACAGCACATCCAAGGCTGCTGTGATTGGCCTCACAAAGTCCGTGGCTGCAGACTTCATCCAGCAGGGTATCAGGTGCAACTGTGTGTGTCCAGGTGAGTTATGCATTAAAGGGCTGTGCACCTTCTAACATCCAAGTTGCCACTGTGAAAGATAGCTGCACAACCTTGTTTACCACCCTTTGCACTGTATTCTGTCATTGTGAAGAGTTCAAAAGAAAAAGAGTCTGGGCTTATTAAGATAACAGTCCAGTTCTAAGTTGGGGAATAGATCCTAAGTCATTAAGAATGAGCCACAGCTGCAAAGGGTTTAAATGCCACCCATGTGAGTAGGGCAATTCAGAATCACATGACTTTTCTCACCAGAGCTTAATGTTTTAGAAGCAGACCAGGGATCATCAGGAGAAAGATGAAAAGTAGACAGTACTCATAGCACACCAGGAAGTCAGAAAGTAAGCGAGGAAAAGTGTCCCAGAACACTTGGGTCTACTATAGTCATGTCAATCATCTATCAAACCAAAAAATCCACTGCCATCAAGTCAGTTCCAACTCATAGCAATCCTACAGGACAGAGCAGAACTGTTCCATAGGGTTTTCAAGGCTATAAATCTTTATGGAAGTAGACTGCCTCATCTTTCTCCTGCAGAGTGGGTGGTGGGTTCAAACCACCAACCTTTTGCTTAGCAGCTAAGTGCCTTAACCACAGCACCACCAGAGCTCCTTAATCATCTAGAGTTGCCCATAAATAGTTGCCCATAAATAAATAGACAATAGCCTTTCTTTATGCTATAAGGCAGGGTCAGCAAACAATGGCCTGCAGCAGGCCAAATATGGCCTCCTGCTTGTTTCTGTACATAAAATTTTATTAGGACACATCCACACCCATCTGCTTATGTACTGGCTATGGCTACATGCTACACTAGCAGAGTTTCAACAGAGGATGGCCAATAAAGCCAAAAATATTTACTCTCTGGCTCTTTACTGAAAAAGTGTGCCAACCTCTGATATGAAGGAAAGGAGAAATGCAGAACTTATTATTAGCAGAAAGGACATTCAAATGTGTCTAAACCACAGAATTCAGTAACTTACTTTTTTTTTTTTTGGAGGAATAACTTCTCATTTTCTTAGTAACTATGGGTATGTCTGTTACATAGATACACCCTTTGTCCTGGTTCCAACTATACCTAAAATGAATACAGGCCACCGAGGGAGAAGGAAGGAAGGTTGGGCAATCCTACTTCCATAGTGATACTGCCTCGGAAACCCAAGGAGGGGTTGCTATGAGTTAGGGCCGACTCGACAGCAAATAACAACAACAACAACAGGGAGAATTTTTAACTTACTTTATAAAAGTAATTAAATATCACCTCTCTGGGATAAAGGTTTCTTCTCATTAGTGCTTAATTGGTTTAGGGAGAGGACCCTTGGTGGTGCAAACTGTTTGAGCTGGACTGCTAACTGAAAGGATGACAGTTTGAACCAATCCAGTGGTTCCACAGAAGAAAGGCCTGGTGATTTGCTACTGAAATGTCACAGCCAAGAAAACGCTATGGAGCTCAGTTCTATTCTGTAACACATGGGGTCTCCATGAGTCAAAATCTACTTGACAGCAACGGTTTTAGGGTTTTTTTGGTTTGGGGAGCTGGAAAGGGGAAGAATTTCAAAATTACCTGTGAGAAATTTCAAAACTTGAAGGACATGCCAGAATCTGGGAAGAGAGCAGATGGGGAGTGTTCTGGTTTCCTAGTGCCTCTCTGAAAAGAATATACCACAGGTGGGAAGGCTTTAACAAACAGGAGTTTATTCTTACAATTTTGGGTGGCTAGAAGTCCAAGTCCCATGTGCCAGGCTCTAGGGGCTGTATGAAACCCCTCAACCTTGGGCTTCAGCTCAGCCTCTTGCTCCCGGCCCACTGAAGCTAGAGGCATCTCTTCACTCAGGTAGCTACTGGCTGCGGAGGCTAACAAGCCCAAGGTCAACAAATAAAATGGCACAGTCCAGATGTTACCAAACCACATGGCAGGCCATTAATTCAAGTCCATTGAAAGTCTCAAGGTCAGCAGAGCATGGCAGGCTGCTGAACAATGACTTGGCCACATGCAGGGTTCAACAGTGCCATAAGCTGGAAACCTTTCTCAAAGTTATATACTCTTATATACTGGAAGCAGCCCACATCCCTAAAGCAGCTACTCAGCTGCTCCAGTAGATTCCACCGTGGAGTTAATTACCAATCTCACCATGGGGAGTAACTACATCCAGCTGCCCAGCCACTCAACCAGGCCCAACCAAGTTAACACACAAACTTAACTACCACAGGGAGAACTGTGTATTTTCTGGAAAGAAGATTTTGATATGATCACAGTTCCCCTCAGGTTGAAATCCATTGACTTATTAGTTAAAGAGGAAAAACTACTAAGTACACTTCAAGCTATAGAATTTCCATGATACAGATGTTTTGTTTTTCTTAGAATATAAAGGTAACTGTTGTTGTATTATGTGCCATCGAGTTGGACCAGACACGACCCCTCCTTGGGCTTCTGAGGCAGTATCACTACAGAAGTAGATTGCCCAACCTTCCTTCTGAGGAGCGGCTGGTGGGTTTGAACCACCAGCCTTCTCATTAGCAGTCAGGCCTTAGGCACTACACTACCAGAGCTCAAGATGTACTAGGAACTAATATTGCACTATTGTTTCTAATCCTAACAACTCTATAAAGTAAGTATTATTATCTCAATTTTACCAGTGAGACTCCAAGCAGCTAAGAGTTGAACAAAGTAGTAACATGGAAGATAAGTAGTAGAGCCATAATTCAAAAGCAGAACTGACACCAAAGCCCTTGTTTGTTATAGTACATCACATGGCCTCTTTGCTGTCACATAGGAGGGAGCAAAACCCCTGTCTATTCCTTTTGAAATGCTATGCAGTGCTTCAGTAAGAGCTTAATAAAGAATTGCTAAAGTAAGTGATGTCCATGTGGAGGCTATGATGGGGAGCAGACAATCACAAAGGAGAGAGCCATTGTATCAGGGCAGGCCCATCAGATTCCTAAATTCCAGTGACTGAGTAGACCCAGTTGGGATCTGCCAGGTTGCTCTTGGAGCTAGGAAATCTGGTTTATTTCTGTTTGTTCCTGGCTGTGTTTCTGAGATCCTGAGTTTGAGTCTCTTGGAGCTCTGGTCTACTGTCTCTGAGTGTCTCCATCTCTCAATATCTCTGGGGCCCTGCCTCTGTGTAGCTCCTTCTCATCCTGGGACGTGGAAGTTGAAAAGTACCTAGCTTTGCAGCCAGCAGGAGTTGTTCAGGCAGTTACTGCCGGGGTTACCTACTCCATTTCAGGCCCTGGCTCCAAAAGAGATTCAAAAGGTAAACGTAAGTAACATAAGTAACCCTAATTTGGTAAAAGGAGAATACAGGAGAGACAACTCATTGGATTTTAACACAGTGGTGATACTTAGTGTAGGTAGCTATTTTTGGTGTCACCCAGTATGGAATAACTGGCAAAATGTTTAGGAAACTGTGGTTATTTTAGCAGCTGAACTTTTCAGAAGATTGGAAAATATGTTAGCTAACTTTCTGGAACAAGGAACTTGTGGGACTGGTTTTTAGCACTGACTCATTGAGCCAGTCAAAGAAGAAAAACTGAGGAGAAGTGAGTGTGTATAGGATGACATTGATTGATGGCTGGTCAAAATTCACCAACACTAGACTTGTAAAAACTAAAGTGCAATGTGTCAGTCTGTGCCATACACACAGCAGAGTCCAGTGACAATGGAATAATCTAAAGGTATGGGCTTGTTCTATATATTTTTTTTTAAATAACCATTAAATACCATCCATATATAAAATATGCTCATTTCTAGTATGATCAGTGGCCTCTCTTATAAGTTCTGAGTTAGGGTAGAAATTAATTTTCCTGGTATGCTTCTCTCACTCTGAACTAGAATCTTGATTAAGCACAAATTTTTCACATATATTAGCTTATTTAATCTGTAAATTTGAGATAATAATATTTGTGTCATAAGTCTAATATAAAATATTAAGGGAAGTAACATACAATAAATTCCCTATTACATCAGAGACAATAAATATAATATCTTTTCCTTTAAATCAAGCTGAGATTTATAAAATAAGTTCTTCCTCATGCTTGCTTTTCTCCACTGATATATTACAGTGGTGGGCTACTGTATCTGTCATTTGTCAAGAACTGTGAAGAATCTGAGATCCTACTATTCTGTTTTGTTTACCTAGTGCCGCTCTGACAGGAATATACCATAAATGGAATGGCTTCAACAAACAGGAGTTTATTCTCTTACAGTTTTGGAGTCTTTAAGTCTGACTTCAGAGTGCCCAGCTCTAGGAGCTAAGTGAAAGCCTTCAACCTTGGTCTTCAGCTCTGCCTCCTACTCCCTGCCCACTGAAGCTGGAGGCTTTTCTTCACTCAGACAGCTCCTGGCTGCTGAGGTTGATAAGCCCAAGATTGACAAGTAAAAAGGCACAGTCCCAATGTTACCAAACATGGCAGGTCACTAATTCAAGTCCAGAAGAAGTCCCAAGATCAGCAGGGCATGGTAGGCTGTTGAACAATGATTTGGCTATATGCAGGATGCAACCATGCCAAAAGACTGGAGACCAATTCCAAAGCTTCTCCTTATATATGGGAAGCAGACCACATCCCAGCTACTTAGCTGTTCAGAGTAGATCCTATCATGGAGTTGACTGCCAGTCTCATCATGGGGAATAACTACATCCAGCTGCCTAGCCATTAAACCAGGCCCAGCCAAGTGGACAACAACCTTAAGTTCCACACCTTTCAAGCTATTAGCCAATACTGCTTGACTGTAGCTGGAGGATCCACATCCAAGGTCACTCACATATTTGTTGGTAGGTTTCAGCTCTTCACCATGTAAGCCTCTTCATAGAGCTGCTCCTGACATAACAGCTAGATTTCACCAGAGCAAGTGATTCAAGAGACACAGTGCAAGATGGAAGGCACAGTCTTTAATAACCTCAACTCAGAAGTAACATACAAACATTTCTATTTCATTTTATCGGTCTGGTACAGTGTAGGAGGAGACTATGCAAGGTGTGAATACCAG